AGTGGGGTGCTACGGGCCGACGTGTAAGAGAAGAGTGTGAAGAGCGGAGCTCGGGGACCAGATAGACTCGATGGACAGTGCGAGAGAATGTGTGTGTTGTTGTAGAGAGAGACTCGAGTGTGTTATTGTAGAGAGATGACTGTATGTGCAGACCACTGTAAGTGATTTAATTTGACGTGAATAAATCAGGGTTGACAATCAAGGTTGTATACCGACCCACGCTACAATATGCAAAATCTTGGGCTACAAAATACTAGATTCAAAGCAGAAGAGTTTCCAAATCATACACAAATGTGAGTGGGCTCGTGTATTGTGTAATGTTAAGTTAAATCACACACAAACATCTGCAGTTATGGTGCCTCTGTCATCAGTGTGGTTCAAACCCTAAACAATGTATTTTTCATCACAATCTCTGACTACAGAAATTAAGGACAGTAACAGATAAATCAAGTGCATTACATCAGCTTTCAATACTGGAATGGATGGTGGTATGTAGATGTCACAGATAGTAAAGTTGAGTTCCTGTAACGATATATGAACAGCAAAGGCTTATAATGTAATACAGTTATACAGGTACAGAACAGATCTCCATGTAAAAACTGCAGTCATATCACCATCAGTATGGTCATAGTGGTAGGCTATGGACCCAAGAATGTTCAATATGTGTGAGTGGGATGCAGATGTATTCCTTGCAGACACAGTAATAGTGAGAGTACCAAGTGCCCTCTGTCCTTATCATTCATAAACACAAGTACTCACCTCACCAGAAGGCAAGCTGGGACCGACTATGTCTCTCCTTTTAGAGCCGCTACTCTCAACATGAGATCTATTAGTACTGCGCAGTGTTCCAGAACTTGAACTAGTCCCTGGTGAAGATGCAGCAGCATGTTGCTTCTTCTTGACTAATGGATCAAACATCCCAAGAGCTTCTGCAAAGCTGGCTCCTGTGAAACCAAATGCACAGAATGGGTTACACCTCGAATATTCCCTAGTTTAATTGGCTGATCAACAGATTCCTTGTATGACTTGCTTACTAATAAATTAACAAACTTCACTGCACATGAATTAATTATCTTGAGCAGTTATATTTAATACAAAACACTCCCAACATTTTAAGTTCAAAACCTCACCTCATAAAAACTTTACAATGTATAGGCTAATCTATAGACTCTTACCAATATCAATATTTTAGAACAAGCTAGATTTTTATAGTGACAGATTTCAAGTTCCGCACACAACCTTCAGGCTGGAAGACCACCCCTAGTCAGCTGTCTCCTCCATCTGCAACCTGAGGACTGTCATGCTGTGGTGACAAGGGATCCTTATTATTTAATAATTTATTAGTCTTAAGGGCTTTGACAAAGATGTGTCATCAAACTGATGAATATTCTTGAACACACATTTCAAAACCATGAAAGCTAATACATATTTATTCTTTCCTTTATTTTTCACTTTGTACTTCTAGACATATCATATCATATTCTACTTTGTGCTATTTCTCTTTCTTCTTTTATTATTTAGTTTTAAATTATAAATATTCTGTAACAGTTGCAAATACTGGCTGAGAAAAGTGACATCAGGAACTATGGGTTAGCATATTTACGGAATATTCGATTCTACAGAGAAAGAAGGAAGGCAGATGATTTACATGGATGAAATTTACTTCCATGCCATTCTGATGCTCGGGTCTGTTTTCACAAGTGGCGACCACCATAGCAATGTGAACAAAATAAGTATGCAAAAGTGGCTTAAGGATAAACCAATCCCCAATTTTCTGCCAAAATTCATTATCACCACATAAAGCTCCTTATCACAGTGTACAACAGAAGCCAGCACCGACTTCATCCACAAGGAAACAAGATTTGATTGCAGATGTTGGTCTTCTGGACTGCAACGCAGCGTGGACTTGTAGATATCAATGCTTCAGAGAAACTCACTGTCTCTGTTGTCTACAAGACCATACAGCATTGCAACCCAGGAGACCAATGTAGACATCTTTACTGCAATGAGAACCTCAAATCTCATGACTTAATTTAATGGCTAAGTACAATATTTCTTCTGAAATAAATGTGTTGAAACGAAAACTGCACTCACTAATAAAATAAACCAAGATTTAAGACAATCATTTAATTCATTTCCACTACAAGGAATGGGCCACTGACCAGTTCCGGGACAGTTGCTCAAGGCAACTTGTCCTTATTATTCTTGTATAGTGCACCTGAGAGTAGTGAGTGACAAGCCCACCACCTCTGCACAATTTCTACTCAATCATGATTTGTCTGCTAGAACCATCTAGTAGACAATCACAAGACATGTATGAGAAATGGCCACTGAATTTTGCTTACAAAATATCTCATTCATGCTCATAAGGTTCTTTTACATGCCAAAAATCTACGACATGGGACTCTGAAGGAAGTTGTGCTACGGAGTTTTATCACCCTTAAAAATCTATCGTCCTCGACCAGGTTAAAAACCGTGAACCTGGGGTCCAGTGGCGAGCACACTAACCACTAGTCCACCGGGGGCGATTTAAGACATTTAAAATAAATACTATAAAAGCAGAAAATGACCATTCAGTACTGTCTTGCTTCTTTCCACCCTGACTTAAACCCCATCAAACAAATATGCGCGCTAGTGAAGGACTTCATTGCTGCGAGGAACATTAGCTTTAATGTTAATGATGTGAAACAACAGAACACAAATTCAGGTCTGTAAGCAAAGAATAATGGGTAGCCTGATAAACATACATGAAGAAAACTAAAAAGACTAAAGGGAATGATGTGAAGATTGACTACTGATGACATTTATATACATGATTGAAGTTTCTTCCCATACAGAAATTGGCCAGTGGGGAACAGTGGCCATACGTGACTCAAAAAACAAACGTCAGGAGTTGTCACCTGAATGGCCCAATCAATGCTGTCTGGAAAAACAGCCAAACATTCATGAACCACAAAATACCTGTCCAGTGGCCTTAACCTTTTTAAGTATGTTGATGAGAAGATGCCATGCCTGGTGCGGCATGAATCTGCTGTACCTATTAAAATTGTTGGGATGCAATCGGATTTCAGTGGTTTCCTATAACAAACTATTAATGTACCCTACGCTCTTGGCAAGAATGGTGGCCTCAGCAAAGTTGATTTTGTGACTTAGTTCTATGCAATGTTCTGTGACAACAGATCTCTCCTGTTAGTTTGGTTGCATGTGCCATTCATGTTCAATGCACCTGGCTATTATGGTATGCCCTGTCTGTCATATATACACCATGCCATACTAGCAAACAGGATGTGGTAAATACCCGGCACATTACACCCTAACTTGTCTTTACTAATCTTAACAGGTTATTATCTTAATATCACATTCCTCTACCAGTCTGCTGATCTTCCCAGACTACTCTATTTTACAAAATGTTGACTAATACAAAACAGGCACAAAATATTTAAAAACAAGAGACGCTGGACTTTGATATTTTCGCAACAAGTAGCAGCATATCACTACCTGCCCATCACCCTATCCTCATGTTCTACTTGCCATCCACTGAATGCATGAGAAGTTTCTTAAGAAACTTTACAAACTGTACCTTATCAAAAAAATAAAGTTGGTCAAAGGCTGCCATTGCCTTCCGGAAATCTGAATTTTAAAGGTAGTAGAAACACTGAAGGGGATTAGCCAAAGTGATAACGGCTAAGCAATAAATAATGTCTGATGTGACACAGAATGATTAAATATGTAAAAGTTACAGGGATGACTATGTTTAAGATTTGGTTCAATTTTTTTTTACAGACACATTAGTAAAAGCCATCCTGTTACATGTTAACATTGGCACTTAGGGGAGAGGAAATATAACTCCTACTCATTCTCAGACTCAGCACTAGAAGGGGTCGAGTGGTCAGCAGCATACCCTCGCTACCCCAGTACCCATTGGACAGAAGTCTGGGTGGACCCAAGAGCCAGTCTGAATGCAGAGGCTAAAAGAAAATCCTCTGCCTAAGTTGGAGATCGAACCCCCATAGTCCAGCCCGTAGCCAGTCAATATACTGACAGAGTTACCTGACTCATGGATATATTAGTCCTCTCAGACAAATCCTTAAAATATGACTTAGAAGAACTAAATAAACAAAAATCAAATAAATCATGCAGTGGAGTTAATATTAAATTCTCTGATCTCAAACTGTTCAGATTTATCATGTTCAATGGGTGGGGAAGCCTTACAATTACAAAATCAAACCATCTGAATGTACAGTACCTGTTGAACAGTCAATACTGCCATCTTCATCCTCTTCTGCTGACAACTTTTCCTTCTTTATTTTCACAGGACTCTTGTCTGAATGAACTGGCGTTGACGACAATTCAGGCACATTAGGAACATTATTGCCACGCGAACTGGTTTTGGACTTGTGCTTCTTGCTGTTATTACTTTTATGGTGGTGCCTATTCTCAGCTTTAACTTCCACTTTCCACTTCTCATTTTTTCTTTGCTTGCTCTCATCAACACTCTTGCTTTCAGTCTTGCTTTTGCCTCCATGACTGGAGGAGATTCCATTCCCTTTCTGGCTGCCATGCCCCTTCTCCTTACTTGTGGTGCTTCTGCCTTTGTGTTTCTCATGCTTCCGGTGGGAGTTGTGCAGTTTACTGCTGTGACTCTGGTCTCTGTCCTGGACACAAGGAGATGGTTTGGGAGACCGTAAATCATCATCACTACTTCTGTCCTCCATATTCTGGCTCACCTGACTAGTACTCCTTGCTTCTGAATCATGACCACTATCATTGTCCACTTGTTCCACAACCTGGAAACTGTCTGCACTTTCTGAAGATTCACTGTCTGCCTCATCCTTCCGTCTTCGTTTCTCTATTAACTTCCCATTTTCCTCCTCATATCTTCGTTTTTTAATGTTATCCTCACTGCTTGTCTTTTTTACCTTGGCCAATTTATCTTCTTCCCTGTGCTTCCTGCTGTCTGAGTGTCGCTGATGTGATATCCTGTCTCTGTTTGATCTGTGATGTTCATCATGCCTGTCATTATACCTTTCCTCTTCTGGAGAGTTGTTATTTTGTTCAGGTTCTGGTTGCTCCTCACCATCACTCGAATCTTCTGCAGCCACCATTGCCTTCCACTTAGCCACTAAAGCCTTGGCTGCTTCACCTGTGTCACCTTCGTACTTCCGGAGCGCATTGACAGTTCGTCCAACACCAGTGTCCTGAAGATGCTGAACAGTGACAGGCAGGTGATAGAGTTTGCCAAGGCAGTGTAGCATCTGAAAAATTAAATAATTTATGTCTCACACATGGCCATGTATTACCACTGTGTCAACCTGCATTACATAGTTAACATATTATGAATCAGACCAGAAGCGGCGATTTTCTTTTCAAGAATTAAGTAAACAAAAACTTCAATTCACATTTAAATTGTGGTTTTGTGGCTTTTTTTTTGTATAGTGTAGCCTCCTAAGAGGTTTCTGATAGAGAATTTGAGATTTTCAGTGTATCAACACAGAAAATCAAAATTTAAAGTCAGATTGCTATGAAAACCTCAAAGCCTAGTTGCCACACTAAAAGACAGAAGAAGTAGGGATAACCAGTTAAAGTAGGATTTGAGGTTCTCATGG